GCATGGTGTGTTCTTTCATTTGTTAATGTCTTCTGCTATTTCTTTTCTCAATGTCAGATATTTCTCTCTATAGAGATTCTTTGCATCCTTTGTCAGGTGTATTCCCAGGTATTTCACTTTCTTTGAAGCCACTGAGGAGAGTGCCTTTGATCTGATTCTGCTTGGCTGTTATTGGTGTGTGTGACGGCTACTGACTGGGCCCATTGATTCTGTATCCTGAGACTTTACTGTATGCCTTGATGTCCCCTTTTTTTCTTGTAGTTTATATTTAGTTTCTACCACCACTGCCTTTGTTGACACCTGCCTAAACTAAATCCCAGAACTGCTGCTTTCTAGCTGTGTGACTTGGAGGAGAAATTTAGATTTCACTTCTTTGTCTGTAAAAATAAATCATGCCTCAATAGAGCTGGGGAAAGGCATACATATAGAATGCAACATTAAAGGAAGCTTTAATGATTAAAAGCATGTTTTTTTTAAAAAGGATACGTTTAGAGAATTCCTGAAAAGAAATATTAAAAATAAATAAATGGATAGAGTGGCTCTCTGCCTTACCAAGTAGCTTTGACGATTACATGAGATGTTACAGATAAAACTCAGTGCAGTACACAGTTTTTTGTAGAAATTTCGATGAAAGATAAGCCCATGTTCACCCCCATTCTTCTCTGAGCTTGAGCACTTCCTAAGGAAGACTTTGGGGAAATTTCCAAACCTCTCTGTGCCAACTTCCTTATCTGAAAAGTTGACATGGCCGTAATGCCTACTTCATAAAATTGTTCTGTGGTTTAAATAATTTCATACCTTTTAAACATGGAGAGATTAGTAAAGCGTCTAGCACATAGTTAACACTTAGTATGTCTTTAGGTATAAATATTAATGTTGTTATCAAAATCCTGAAAGGCTTCTTGTATTTCATCTTCTGCTCTAATAACCTGTTTCCCACCTCACCCTCAGAATCTATGTAAAATACAAAGATCGTCTTCTTCTTTCTCCATATCCTTTGATGGCATTCCCACCCATAGAAGGTCTTATTCGAGATTGGGTATCAAGCTGGGATCTGAGCTAGCCCTTTAATTTCCATTCATATTTCTACTACTCAACCCAAACTCTCTATACTGAGACCAAGGACAAACTTATTTATCCTCACCCCACAACAAGCAAACAACAAAAATCTATTTTATGTCATAGCTCCAGTAATTGCCTTCATCTTAACCTAACAAATGCTAATATGTATTATAAAATTCACTATAGTAATCTACTACTTTATGTACCTTCCTGTGCCGCCTCTATAAGAATTTTGTGCTCCCAAGTTAATTGCTATAATCTTGTTTTTGTATTCTGAAGCTCAGAACTAAGTAGAGTTGATGCATATTTGTTAAAGGCTTGGGGCATTGGAAAGTTATAGGAAAGATAAACCATATGTACATACATGTACACGTATACATATACACAGGCATATATTAAAAAATCACATAACCATATAATTTAATACCGTTCTTGTGTCTGTGCTACTAATTTCTCCTATTTGGGACCTGTGTTGAAAACAAATCCTGGGGCTGTGAAATAGTGATACTAGCTGATTCTCAATGTATCAGTAATTCACAATGAATTTGGCACTGGCTTGAGCTAAAGTAGCTGCACTAACAAACTGAGCTTTAGGCTGGTTTAGAAGTGAGAAGAAGGGTAGAGTAAGTGGTTAAGAAAATGGGCTCCGCTTTTAGAAAATCCAAGTTCAAATTCCAGGGAACTACTTACTGCTGTATGATCTTTTCCATGTTTCCTATTCTCTGAGAAGCTGTATCCTTATGAAGTAAAACTAATAGTGATACCCACATAAAAAGATTACTCAGACTATTAAATGAGGCACTAAGTTTTAAACTTATTCTGGTTCCTGTTCTAGATCCATCTAAGCAGACTGATGCCAACTTATTAAATATTGTTGAACTTGTTGTTACATTGTATCAGACATTCCTTATCTGGTGAGAGTTCTCCTAGATAATGCATGCAGTGCGACGCAGATGTGGGAAGATGAATTCTACATCAGATAAGTCTAGGAGCTTCCCTGGTTTAAAAGTTTCATTTTCCACATGAGCTCAGATCTCTTGATCCAATAGTCCTAGCTTCCAAGGTCACCACAAGGGACACGTCATGTGCCAGGAGTTGATAGATAGAGGGACGCCCAAAGCTATAGCTGCTTAGCAGAAATTTATAGTTTCCCCAGTATAGGTATAATTTATCTAAAGGGGTAATTTTAACATAAATCATATGACCTAGTAACATAGTTGACATTCCAACTTTCATCAGAGTAACTAATTGGAGGCAGTTAACCAATGGTCGCCTTCTCTACAACAAGTTGAAAGGGATTATTAAACTTCTGCCTGAACATAGAAAATAAATTTAGTAAGCATTAGAAGAAGGATAATGTGGGTATAATAGATTGTGCATAATATTATAGATTTATTAATATAATGAAAATAACATCAGAAGGATAAGAAATATATCTAAAGGAAATGACATATTTAGAATTTGGTAAGAGAAATTGCAGAAGGCATCATTTGGTCATTATTTTGCCTGATTTTCATGGATAAACTCATAAGAGTGAGAAGTTGTTCATCACAGAGAAAGATTTGCTCCTTGGATAGTCTGTCAATACATTTGAGCAGAAATCGGTCCTCTCTGTTGTTGCAGAGAAACAGAGTTGACTCACAGAACCTTTTACCACCAGTCTCCGGTCATCTTCTTTCTCAAGTTCTCACTGCTCAGACAAATTGCTTGTGAGGCTTGGAGCTGTAATTGTCTCCTAGGAATGCAATTTCCGTGCACATGCCAGTAGGATTAAGAAAATTGAATGTGAGTTGTTACATTAAAAAGGACCAGTGTCTATCTATGGTTGATTACTTTAGTTATATAGAGCACCCGAGTGACGAGACAGAATTATCAGTGAATTTTCCCACTGGACCAGATGGCTCTTCAGGGTGAGAGCTGCCTTGTAAATACGCACTATTGATTGTTGACAATGGGCAAGAATTCAGCTAAGCATCAACACAAGTCCATCGAATTCCAGGAAAACTCCTCAGAGTGTATATGCCCTTAGTCCTTAGTCCATCTTCACCTTCATATATAAATATTACAATTTAGAATCCAGCATTCCTCTAAGTCAAGTAGGAATAGAGAGAGTTTGAATGTTAAAACTTTACTGATAAAATAAACATTAGAGATATATTTAGAGGATATCGCTACAGCATTTGGGTAAATAGATGTAAATTTCTAATATCTATGATGTATTTAATTAGGATACCCACATATATGTAGTGTATTAAATTATAAATGGAAAAGTGGGTGTATTTGAATAAGCATACATTATAATTGCAGTCACATCTAAAGTTCCAAGTGATATTAAGAGTAATAAACACTTGAAGAAATCGGCCTGGGCGAACATTTTATGAAGAGGACACCCCGAGCAATTGAAGCAACATCAAAAATACACTATTGGGACCTGATCAAACTAAAGAGCTTCT